ATAATATTGAAATACTAATACTCCCTATGTTTAGAAATATATGATGTTTAAGGTTTTAGTACTCCCTTTAAAAAATCTTTTTAATGTGTTTTTAAATAAAACATCACTTTTTATTTACCCAAAATTTTTCAACCAATAGAAAACCAATCTGCAAAATTCAAAGAGTCAAAAACACTAAAAAAACAATTAATTATCCATAGAAAAATAAATACATCTTATATTAAGAAACAAAAAAAAACTTCTTAAACATCCTATATCCTATATTAAGTAACAGAGAGAGTATTGAATAAGGTTAGAACCCCATTTTAGAACCCATTGTGACACTCAGCTAATTTTCGTATCCACGACCACGAGGTAAGGAAGTGCATTATCGATCGATATCCGGTGGTCTAATGAAAGTCGACAGTTTTCCGATAATAATAATATCAAGTTGGGCAATGTTAGGTAATGATGCTTGGCAACTACTAACTAATCAAAGATCATGCACGTTGAAGCGCCAGCTAGTGTCTGTTGCTCCAACATTAACTTAACGAAAGCTGAAGAGATATATATGTAAGATGGCACACCCTCTTAAGCGAGCATTGAATACTTGTACGTTTGATTTTTAGAAACTCCACGCTTCCCACACCGTCACTAGTTATATATGTAGTACGTATACCCTACCACTCCTTCATTAGGTAGACAGTGGACCATGCATGTGTAAGGACCATTTAAGTAAAACCTCGTAAAGCAGTTGTAACTATTAATTGATTCAATGATGCACCCAGATATTATATAGAGGAAATTTGAAATAATGCCTCTTTTGATTTTTTAAATTTGAAAAATATCTCTTTTTAAATTTTTTGAAAAATATATTTTATTAAATATGAAATTACGAAAATAGCCTAAAAAATCTGCAGAACAAATGATAAATTATATATTTAAAATATAATTAATTTATTGTGATAACAGAAATGAGGTTTTATTTATTTAAAAATAAGATTGATTTATTTTTACACAGTCGACTTATATTTTGGTTGGTTGATTTTTTTACTTTATTGATTTATTTATACAGTTGATTTTTTTTTATGTTCGTCGACTTAATATTCAGCTTCGTCGACTTATTTTAAACTGTTGACTTATATTTCGTTTGATTGATTTTTTACTTTGTCGACTTGTTTAACCATTGACTTATTTTTTTATTTTTATCGACTTAATATTCAACTTCGTAGAATTATTTTAAACTGTTGACATATATTATCGTTTGCTTGATTTTTTTACTTTCTCGATTTATTTAATCATTGACTTAATTTTCAGTTTTGTCGACTTAATTTTCAGTTTCGTCAACTTATTTTAAACTGGTAACTTATATTTCGTTTGATTAACATTTTAAGTTATCGACTTATCTAAACTACTGACTTATTTTTTTTAATTCGTCGACTTAATTTTTTTTTTCATCGATTCATTGTAAACTATAGATTTATATTTTGGTTGGTTGACTTTTTACTTTATCGACTTATTTAAACAATTGACTTAATTTTTATGTTCATCAACTTGACATATTATTATATAAATTAATTAAATTATAAATTATAAAATTAATTCATAATTTTATGTTATTAATAAAAATATCAATTGGTAATTTTATTTAAATTAATATATTGTAATTTAACTTAATTCTTATTTAGAATATTTCAAAAATATTATAAATCAATTTAAAAATAAAAATTAAAAAAATCAAATCATTATGTTTTTCTAACTTAATCTTGTTAAATAAGGATATAACTGTTTTTTTAACTGTCATTTCAACTTTTAAAATATAAATTTTTCGTAGTGTATGATTTTTTTTTTTTTTGTCACAAGTGTAACAAATTTGGTATAGATTTCAAAGTGTAACAAAATTGGTATAGATTTCAAATTTCCAATAAGGTTTAGGGTATACAAACCAATTTCCCTTATATATCTAGTGGGTTAAAACTTCAGACTGATCAATTTAACGTTTCTAAACATTTAAATCGATTGGTAAGAATTTTGTTCAGTAAAGGTTTGCAATTCTGTATCAGAGCGTTTTTTTGTTTTAAAACATATCAATAGGCATAACTGCTTGTCCTTTCTCATATACAAGAAGCACATGCGTGGCAGCAATTGTAACATGGTGTAGCTATTACTTATTATATAGTCGATAAAAGAAAACATGATTAAGTTGGAAGGGAAATAGATAATCA